TAACACACAGAAGCAGTGAACAAACTAAGAGAAATATTGAGCCAAAATCCTGTACTAAAACTGTTTGACTCAAAGAAGCCAGTGACAATCCAGTGCGATTCTTCAACGAAGGGACTAGGGGCATGCTTGCTCCAGGACAACCAACCGATCGCATATTTATCAAGATCTTTCACAGAGACAGAAGCAAACTTTGCAAACATTGAGCGTGAACTCCTAGCGATAGTGTTTGCTGCAGAACAATTCCTCCTATTCATTTTTTGGAAGAGAAGTACTGGTGATCAGTGATCACAAACCATTAGAGACGATCTTGAGAAAACCACAGCACAAAGCTTCGCCAAGAATTCAACTGATGATGTTACGACTACTCCAATACAAACTGGATGTTTAGTACAAACCCGGATCTCAGCTATACATTGCTGACACATTGAGCCTCACCACCATTAACACATCAAGAGAGACAGGAAATTCCCCTGGAGGAAATACTGAGAATACACTGCACGACAGCCACAATGCCTGCCACAACAGAGAAACTCAAAGAAATCCAAATAGAAACCAAGTCTGACAAGATACTGAGAGATGTCTTACAATGGGTGAAAAATGACTCAAGGCCTCAACAGAAGAACATGTCAATGACAGAAAGACACTACTACAAACTCAGACATGACATGCGTGAGGAAAATGGAATGTTATTCTTCAATAACAGAATGGTCATACCTGAAACCATGAGGGAAGAAATGTTAACCAAACTGCACTCAAGTCACCTTGGCATCGACAAAAGTAAGGCAAGAGCCAGAGAGAGCATCTATTGGCCAAGAATATGTACCGACATTGAGGAGAAGACGAAGAAATGTGAAATATGCGCTAGCAATCAACCGCAAAATGCTAAGGAACCGATGATTCCTCACGATCCACCATCTATTCCTTGGGTCAAACTAGGAGCAGACATTTTTGAATTTGGGGGAAAATCATACCTTCTTGTGTTGGATTGTTATTCAAAGTATCCTGAAGTAGCATACATGAACAACAAAACAGCACAGTCGGTGATCAAGGCCTTAAACCAATTTTTGGAAGACATGGGATACCACAGGTACTCTTCGCTGACAATATGCCTTTCTCCAGCTACAAGATGAAAGAATTTGCAACAAGCTGGAACTTCGAAATCAAAACATCAAGTCCGAGGTATCCGCAGTCAAATGGCCAAAGTGAACGTTTCGTCAACATTGTCAAAACAATGTTCAGGAAATGTACTGAGGAAGGATCTGGTCCTAATCTAGCTCTACTAGGATACAGAAACACTCCTATCACAGGTTTGCCGTACTCTCCAGCCCAGCTGCTCATGGGCAGAAAATTGAATGACCTGGTACCAACGGATCCCAAGATGTTAAAACCACAACTACCTGCTGATGCTCCATATCTGCTTCAACAAAGAAAAATAGAGCAGAAAAAACACTACGATCGACACACAAAGAGTCGTCCACAACACCACGTGGGAGACAGTGTGCGAGTGCACACAGGAAGATCCAATAATTGGGAAAAGGGAGCCGTCACCGGTATGTGCCAAGCACCTCGATCTTACTACGTCACAACAGAAGATGGTACAACATGGCGACGAAACTCCAGAGTCATCAATAAAAGCAAACACGCTCCTGTTATCAACGAACCATCTAGCTTTGATGAAGACGAGCACCAGTCAGAGCGACAACCTCAAGGGACACAAACCAACAACCAATCTACAACGTCCCAGGTCGAGTTCCCAAACTCACCACCAAGGGTCGAGCTCCCATGCTCATCCTACAACAATACAACAAACTACAATAGACCTGCATACACCACTAGGTGTGGTCGTGCGGTGAAAAAGCCAAAACGTTACACTGAGTAGGCATGGCCTTTTACAACATTTTGCATACAATGTGATGAATTTGTGTGTCCCGTACGATCACAACAACACTAAGTGGAACATTTGATAGACGCTAATGCTAATAGAGCCATTGTATTTGAAGGATTAGTCAGCAAACACATACTAATATTTCATACTCATCAGCTGAGAGCCAAGAACTTTGAAAGAACTCTAACTCACAGTACCAAGAAACATCTTGAAGAAAACTTGTACTTGACAGATTTTCCTTTTGTTCAAAATACTAATTACTATCGGTGTTATCAGTTCAGAGTTGAACCGTACGCACTGTACTTTTTTTTTTAAAGAGAAAGAAATTGTGTGTGTTTTGCTTAGAACACAAGCTTGTAATTAAAGAAATAAACTATTGCATTCTGGGTTACTAAGATGGCTGCCTCAATGTTCCTTACTGTTACCCCGATGTGTGTTTCACGTCTTGTTATGAATCAAACAATAATCTAAAGAACCCAACGAACACAACAGTAACGAAGAGTATTTTCTTTGAAGTATCGACCGCCGGTCGACACTTAAACAGAACTCTTACACATCTAGTAGCATTTAATTATTGTAAGCATGTGTAGGAATAACATGTGTCGTGATGTAGAGTTACAGATTTCCCTTGTTTTAGCGTTGTCACCAAGACGTGTCAAAACAAGGGTCTCGCTTGAAAAATTGTAACTCTTTGTCGTTACCCAAGTGAACATAGTCGCTGCGCAGGCAGAGAAGCAGTAAAAAGGAAAGCAACCAGGGATTACACTATTTAAAAATCCATAGTTCGGTGAACAATAGAAGTAAAATCGCTCCCATCCCAGGGTCCTCCGCATTCTATTTAAACAGCTAAAATTTACAAATGACTCATCAATGTTCAAATAAAATTAGATCTACGCTTCGATAAACAGCGATCTTCTGCCAAAGTAATTGCATTTGAACATGTCTAACACTAGTGTTTCTTTTTGGTATGTGCGCTTGCAAATGCACGCGGGACACATTAAGCATTTTTAGTTTGGTTGGAATTAACTTCAAAATCTGCCCGGGTGGCAGCTGAAGCGCACTCTTATCGATTTTAAAGCCACCAAGGAATGTTTAACGTCCGCAACATGAATACGGGACCTCCTAGATTTGTTCCCCTTATCCGAGAAGGCTATGTATTAGATCTCACCTACCCCAAGATTGGGGGTGTGGCTGAAGCTGAAAGACAGCAATAAGAAAGAGCCTAGGAGTTGCAGTAGAAAAGCAGCAGAATGACTTCAAAGAACTGGAGCTCAGGGGGCAAAACGGGAAAAGGAAAAGGGGGGGGGGGAGG